CGGGCGAGGATCGATCGAAGGGAGCGCGGAGGCGTCCGCCAATCGCGGCTCGCTCCTCAGACCGCCTGCGCACGGCGACTGGCGGCCTCTCCTCGTCTATTTTTAAAAGCACAAAGCGTGCGCAGCACGTTTCGCGCGCGAACGTTCCTCGACGAAGGTCGCGAGCGAGCGAGCGAGCGATTACGCGGGCCGCCGGGTTATCTCGCGATTCGCGCGTCGGCCGCGTGTCAATCCAGTGCCAATCGCGTTGCGATCGCGATCGATCGTCGCCGGCGCTCGACGGACTTGGGGGCAGGCGATTGGAGACGAGACCCGAGGGTCCCGAGGTCGCGGCGGGTCCTGAAATCCGGGACGAGAAAGGCGGAAGCGCAAGGATCGTTCATCGGGGGAGAAGTTTCCGAGACGATACGTTTCTCGGAGCGGCTCGTACCGAGCGGGATCTTCGGAAGCGGCAGGTCAGCAGGTCGAGCCGCGGCCCGTCGCTCGTTTGTTCTCGTGTCGACCACCGGTCCGCCACGCATCTCCTCAAAATTCGGCCCCGCAGGCTCGTCGAGTGCCTCTGCGCGACGCTCGCGATCCTGTCGCCCGTCGCGCTCGCCCGCGACATGGCCACGTACGGGCGCTACCGCGGCAGGAACAATCAGGAGCTCGTGCAGCATCTACGGCGTAAGTGTCGCGCGGTTATGCAATGTTGTGTCATCGCGCCGCCCCCCTCGCCGGTGTCGCCGCACGCCGCCTGTCTGCCTCCCCCCCCCCCCTCCTCTCTCTCTTGTTGGCGTCGCAGATTGATTTAGGAGTGCAACGCAGTTTATGCGGTATTTACGACCCATTCTATTTGGATTCGGTAACTCAATCCACGAGAATGAGCCGCCGCTGTTTCTCGCGTTTAGAATGTAGAGCGATTTAGTTTGGCAAGAAATGCACAATACTCGCCGTTGCGCGAGAGAAGTGACACCGAGTCACGAAAATGTGAATGTTTACAGTTTATCGACCCGGAAATGTAACCGGTCGGTAAAATGTTAGCATATTGGCGTCGGAAACCAAAACCATAGCCATCTGCGTCCGCATATGGCTTTTGTTTTGGCTAACAGGCTGTCGGTAGAAACGGCATTTTTTTGGGCACTAGTTTCGGCAGATTTTACTTTCCTACAAATATTTCTACTCGTTTCAGGGTCCAGGGTCATCAAATCTGAAAGAGTGTTTGACGTGATGAGTTCCGTGGACAGAGGAAAATACACTCATCCCAGCCACGCGTACGTGGACGCGCCGCAAGGGATCGGCTATGGTGTCACCATCAGCGCGCCACACATGGTATAACACAGTACATTCTTTTTCCCCGCGCGCGAAAGCGTCGCAATGCCACTAATCGCACACATGTCTATAAATCAATACCCGATTTCCGTTGTAAGACAAAAGATCGCCTTGCGCAAAGAGTTGTCAAAGCTATTTCTGCAATAATAATAGTAAATAAATGAATGCGTCACCGGCAATGAAAGAAAGAAAGACCACTGAAAAAGGAAATTACAAGTTGGAAGACAAACGGAAATTCTTTAGCACGCGTATGCCCTGGAATTGCTTGAAGACAAGCTGCGCAACGGCACGAGGGCACTGGACGTCGGCTCTGGATCCGGATACCTGACGGCATGCATGGCGCTGATGATGGGGCCACAGGGCCTGGCCGTTGGAATCGATCACATTACGGAGCTTCGAGCGATGGCCGAGGAGAACATTCGGCATGACCACCCGGAACTCCTGAGCGACGGACGCGTGGAGTTGGTTGGTGAGTACGTCTTTGAACAGCCAAGCACACAATTTGACCAACTGCTTTCTGTGCGACCAAGTTATTACGATCGCGTCTGCTTAGTTGGCGATGGGAGATTGGGATATCCCAGTCGTGGACCGTACGACGCCATTCACGTGGGAGCGGCTGCTAAAGAGATGCCGCAACCGGTAAGAGAAACGCTCGCAGAATTGTTAAAGGATATGCCAGAGCAAGTATATTTTTTTGCCGTACAGTTGATAGATCAGCTGGCACCTGGCGGACGTTTAATAGTACCTATGGGTCCGGAGAATTCGGATCAAACCTTGGTGCAAATCGACAAGACTCTGGACGGCAAGATTAAGCAGCGCTCCCTGATAAGCGTGGTGTTCGTCCCGCTCACCGACAAGGAGCGACAGTACAGTCGATCATGAGGCACGTGTCTGCTCCAATAAGTGAGCGCCGTTTTATTTATGTTTATTATATTATTTTGTTATCGTAACTTATTTACTGTTATCATTTAATGGCAGAACGGCTCGACAAAAAGTACCTACGTGCATAAAATCAATTAATTTATATCTCTATCTACGAGGGCTGCACTGATACATTCTCGCCCAACAACTCGTTACAAGTCGCTACGAAGATTAATCGAAATCTCGAAATATTTCGGTTTTTTTTTTTAGATTGTGACTAATACAGCTCGTTTTATCGCATTTTATTTTTCACAAACGAGCAACAAGTAGACATTGCTGTGGTTTTCACTCCCAGAGAAGTTGATTAACTAGATACGCGATACCGATCGACCATGTTCTTCAGCATATAGTCATGTGAATAGACAGTTAAGAAAGAAAGAAGTAAATTTAAGCCAAATCGCACAATATCAATGGTACATTTGCCACCTTGCAATTGCTTAAGCTTTTGACTTAAATCATGAACGGAACGGAAGAAAAGGTTACATGTATCAATATATCTCTTAAGTTATCTTATCACTTGACTTATTATTCATGTGCTTCGTAATCATCTTATTGTGAGTTTCTGTAAGGTCCTATTTCACAGATTGGACGAAGAAGACTGCAATGAAGCATTTGATTTATTAATATACATAAAATTGTTTACATCTCTATGTGTAACCAGGCTACTATTGTATCTAATGTACTCATTGTATAGCTTTTCTATTTCTCCTATTAATTACTATCTATATTTCTTTAAATTGCAGATGCTATGTCTGACGTAGAGTAAATGTACATAATTTACAATATACAGTAAATCTTAAATACCTATGTCTTTGTTTCTTTGATGTACAGGTAATATCTGTAGTTATACTGTACATACATTTCAATTATTTTAATTTAAGGATATACACATATACATGTATGTGTATATACTGTATATATACATACTGTATATATACATATAATAAATGCATTATAAATTATATATAAATCTCTAGGAATGAATTTTACCCATAGCGTCAATGTCGCTTATATTTAAATAATTTGACACGTCTCGTCAATTATTACGTCTTGTCTGTACAAGTAAAATTGCACAATGCAATTCTAGGGGTCATAATTTAACAACTAGTCATAAAAATTACACTTACTGTAGATTCATTCGGATTTTCGATAAAACAGCGGAGAAAGATGCGCTGAGAATTCTCGTGAACCAACAGCGACGTTTCATCGAGATTGCGACCGACAACAACCGACTTACACTAATGTCATTATATCTAAAAAGCTCGTAATCTTAAAATACTCCTATTTTCTAATGTACAAAGGGCAGTGAGATCATGTATTTTACATTCGCCTTTAGTTAAAGATAGCCGAGCATTAAAGAGCCTTCACCATGTATAAACTGAGCGCGGCGCCAGATGCTAGTCCTATACCCAAGAAAGCACCCATCATTGCGGACGCAACTTCTCTTTCCTGGCTGTCTACGACTCTGCAAGGTCAATGCGTACAATTGCAGAGGATAATCTTGCGACTGACGGAGTTTTACTGTCGAAGATACTTACGTAGGCGCGAGAATAAACGTTAGATTACACAGATAGCCATTGGTCACGGCGAATATAATGGTTATCAAGATGTAGTATATATCACCGTGAATGTAAACGGGTAGATGATGCCTCGGTTGTGCATTGCAAAACATAAACACAGGTATGAAAATACCTCTCGCGACGCTCATGAACATTACAAGCCATGGCTTGCTTCTCGGCTGCAATGACAAAAAGTTGGCAGGCATCGCATAAACGAGTGCAAAATTGTCAAGGCCTGTGTCCACGATGCTAGAACCTGCCATTGGGAATAGCTGCAAGTTGCTTGGCTACACATTTCTCGAAACTAGAACTTGGACCAGGTTCTAGCATCGTGGACACAGGTCTTTAAGAACGCAGATTCTCACCCATTGAAAAATACCACATAATAGTCTTCCTACGTAATCGCCTGTACTGAAGATGAGGTATGTAACCACAGGTACAAAGTATATATCTGAAAAGCCATTTGAAATTATAACCCATGAATTCACTCGAAGATATAAAGCACCCGGAGTATGTGAAAAGATTTCAGATTACCGTTCCACGCATGGCCTTTGCCTTTGTGTTCGCTCTCCACTAGTACGGTGACTGCCGGATACACAGCCAGCGATATGAAAAATACTAGGAATATGCTAACGCCGTAATGCCAGATCCTCTTTATAATCCGCGTGTAGGCCACTTTCGGATTTGCCGAGAAGCTGACTTCCCCGTTTATGGAATAATCAGATTCCGAACAATCAGGTACTTCTTTTTCTATCATGTGATGCTTGAAGAATGGCTGTGAATAAAAGGAACGCTATATAGAACAATGGTTTTCGCGAATTCGCAAAATCTAATCAACAAAATTAAGCTTTATGAGGCAAAACCTGTGTTCAGGAACGCGCGAGGGTCGCTGTGTTAAATTAAATTGTATATCCGATAAAAAAATGTGATCGGTTTTTCAATCCAATTTCATCGGATGTGTCCATAGTTTAATCAGAAAAATTAACCATCGGAAACACTATTTAATTGGTTTATCCGATGAAACTTTTTCTCAGTGTACAATTTAGTTCCATCTCTCCCGCAAATCCGTGCACTGAGAAAAATTTTCATCGGATAAACCAATTACGTAGTGTTTCCGATGGTTACCTTTTCCGATTAAATTATGGATACATCCGATGAAATGCAGTTGAAATTTGATTGAAAAACCGATCACATTTTTCATCGGATATATCCGTTTGTTATTATGTAATTATATTATCCGATTATATTTAAGCGGACATTTTTCGCAGTGTACTATAATACACCGTGGAACGTATGTTTAATTATTATCGTAAGTGGCTTATCATACGTTCGTAAAACACTTGTGCCACACGCGGCGTCATTTTAACGAAACAATAGTTGTTAATGATGATCTCATTGTTTTGCGCGTGACTGATCGGATTGAAGAAAGTGCGGTATGACAATAAGCCCGAGGTATGTTCGAACGGAATTGACTCACCGCTCTCTCCAAGAGAACATACGCGACCAGCGATAACAACAGCATAGTGTCGCCAATAATGAAGTACACCAAGCCGGAGAGCATCGGACTGGCGCCGATCCACAGGGAGCATATTTCCGCGAGGGCCGTGAATATCCCGCCGAGGGCTTGTCCGCCGGACATCGCGGTTATGTACTTGGGCGAAAACTTGCCCACTATGCCCATTAAACTGCCGCCGAAGATCGCGCTCGCAGCTAGAAAGATATAATATTGCTGTCTTGTGGTAGAACTAATTACTGGCGCATTTTCATTTTTAAGTACTTAATTAACTTGAGTATATACGCACCATTTACGAGCGCAACTGTCGTCAAGGTGATTATTAGGAACGTATTTTGCCCTGGAAACAATCTTTCGGTTTATTTCTGAATAAAATAGACGAGAGTAATTCTATAACTGTTACGACACGATCAATGGATACCAGAGTTGGGAAGTAACTCGTTACTTGTAACGAAGTTACTTTTTTTTGGTAACTCTAACTTAACTTCGTTACTTTCTCTCATTTAACTCGGTTACATTTTTTCGATAACTAGTAACTGATTTAATAGTTACATTATATATATATTTTTTTAAACCACGGATCACATTAGGTCTTGCATTTACGCATAAACGCCTTTATCGACGCTTTACAATTCAAATGCAGATTTGATATTTTTATTTTCATTAAGAGAAAGTAACTGCAAAGTAACTTCATTAGTTTTTGAGTAACTGTAACTGTAGCGCGTTACTTTTCAGAAATTGACATGTAACTGTAACCAGTTACATTTTTAGCAAACAAACTGTGACTGTAACTAGACACTTTTATATAAAGTAACTTTCCCAACCCTAGATACAACGATAAGTTGTATTTGCTGGCTTACATTTGTCAGTGTCCATTTCGACAAATACTGTTGTCAAGATGAAGAGCAGCAATATTGTAAGTTGGGAACCCACCATTCTTACAGTTAGAGACACTCTGGGGATTTAGAGGCTTTGATTAAACAACGCTTCTGCTTATCTGATGTATGATTCAAAATTACTCATCGCTTCTGATTTTTCTATAAAATGGTAATATAAAAGAGTGAAACGAGATGAAACAAACTAACGTTCTCACGACTCTCGTGTAGTTGATTTCAAAGATGATTTAATTCAAAATATCAAGAATGCATAGTAATTTTGAAGCACTCAAGAATAAATGCATATTAATAAAAGCATACATCACTCTTAAGAATAAATGCACTTTTTAAAACGCACTTCGCAATTATAAGTTCTTTGCTTACCTCTTGCTAATAAATGCATTTATTATTAAAAACAGAGTATTTGGCAATGCACTGGCTACACTTAAATAAGAAGTAAAACTAGCTTGGAGATCCGTCTTCTCCTCAAGCAGTTCTGCATACGTATGAGTAAGATTTGTCGTCGAGTTACCATGAATTTCTCTAAATTTGTACATCCAGTACTGAAAAAAAAACACACATTAGGAGCATAGAGAGACAATAAGAGCCAAACGCTAGGTGTTAGGCGCGGAAGTCTTAGATTTAATGTTTGGTTGATCGAAACGTTTGACTTGCACCTAATAAGAGCCAAGCACCCAGCGTTTGGCTCTTATTGCCTCTCTATGCTCCTAACGTAAATGTCTATCAACAGAGCCTTAATATTTACTAAGACATTATACAGTCAATCGTATTCCACGTGAACGCGAGAAGAACCAAGTGACGCTACTTACGTCGTCAGCAGTGATGAAAAAACTCCATGGAATTAGCGTATTTATTCCAAGCAGGTAAAACACAACGTATGCAAGATTGTATCTAAAAATATGCAGAGACGATTACGATAGATGGCGAGCTTTATTAACTTTCAAATTGAACTCTGATAACAGGAACTTACTTGTCATGTGGATCGTGCGGTTTGAAAAATGGCTTCTCGTCGGGACTGGTCACGCTAGGATCGTCCACCTCGGTCTCCAAGTCGTCCTCGAACTCGCTGTCGGACGCACCTCCCAGTAGGGGTCTTCGGTTGATGGAGTACGACATGATCTCTCCCTGAAAGCAAACTGTATACAGCGAATACGTGAAAGATTCGTAAAGCAACGAAATAGCAGCGAAGGGAAATGACTCCTTTGCGCGAATCACCGCGTTACATTGGGTGCGCTCGCATAGTTATTAATAATCTTTGGAATGCTTGGTCGACACAACTGGCATAAGCTTTATTTAGTAAATGTTACATCCACTACGTTTCGACCATCCGGATTGTGGTCCTTCTCAAGTGGTTGGTAATATACTATACTGGTAATATACTTTCTGTTCTTTACTCTCTAAATTTGTGGAGTGAAATGTTCACCCTATTGGCGTGAATATTTCCTCCAACAGAGTGAATGTTAACTCCAATGGAGTAAACATTTCACTCCATGGCAGTATTTTCACTCCACCAATTTTAGAGAGTAGACATTTGCGGGCACTCGTGTAAGTTCGTCACCTGAAGAGGACCAGTGTTACTGGTCGAAAGGTGGTAAACTTTACAATTGAATAAAGAAGCGCCAGTAAGGTCGTTTCCACGCTCAATTTTATTTCTTAACTCACGACTGGCGTTAATGTATCTGCTGTTGGCGTGTCCTCTATATCTTTTTTCGACACATAACGAGCGACAAAGGTAAACTGATAGCTCTAATAGCTCCGGTAAACTGACGCACTAATAGCTCCGCGAGCGCACCCATTATTGCATCACGAAATACAAACATTATGCATGCATATCGCGCACGTATCACCGAGGAAAATTTCCCTGCTCGCGCGAGCCTCCCAGCGAGAAGTGACTCGTCGATCGACGTATCGTTTCTGACTGGGTGCGGGCGCGAGGCGCTGAGGAAACGATGTGTTCATGTCACATGTGTCTCCTTCGCGGCACTCACGGTAGCTGCGCGCAGGACACACGGGCACGTCCTGGCAGACTGGGCAGTGAGATTTACGAGCGTATTTCCGGAGCGGAGAGCCGCGGTCCGAGCATCTCTGGCGCGACCCAAGCGTGCGAGTTCGACGTCCGAGGGCTCAACATCCGACGGGCGCGTCGACACGATCCGGAATGCGGACGGGCGTGGGACTCAACCGCTGCGCGACGTCCTCCGGAGCACGGTCTCCCGGCTGGCCAATCTCTCGCGTCTACGCGCGGCTGGCATTGTCCGACCGCGGGCTGCAGCGTGTGGTGCCAGGGTGCACCCACCACTCCGCGTGACGACACGCCTCCTCTCGCTCGGCACGCTGTCTCGATCAGCTGGCCGCGCGCGGGTCTTAGCGCGAACGGGATGTAGGAAAACGGTGGCGACCTACATACACATGGAAGGGGAAAAGGAGCCGCACAGGCGTGTG